ATATATTTCAGCTGATTGCCAGGGCAACATTTTTTTTTTTTATTTAGTTTAACTATTTTTATTTTAGTTTAGTACATTTACTGATGTACTAAAATAACTAAAACTAAAACTGAAATAAAAATTTATTTAAAAAAAAGTATAATAGTTAAGTATAATAATAACAAGTATACAAAAGAACTAATAACAAAAGACAAAAGCACACAACAAAATTACTAAAACTGTAACTAAAATAAAAATGAAAATGGAAAATATAAAAATAAAAACGAATTAAAAATATTAATAATGAATAAATTAATAAAAACGGAATTTTATGAGAAATTTCAATTGTAAGCATAATTTTATTTGTCTACAAAGCTAATATTCAAGCATTTAAACAGAAGCTTGAAATATTTTTGAGATGATAAATTATGTCTTTTGACTGGATTAGACAAGGATACAAAACATTGTAGATGTAACTTTTTTTCCCTCATGTTTTCATTTCTTAAAGTCGCATTTCATTTCTTTCTGCCAAGGTATAGTTTGATTGCAACTGATAAAATGTAAATGTGTAACTTGAATAAAAATGTAAGCCAAATGCATAAATGTAAAAAAGAAAGAACTTGTTCATTGTGTGTTAGTTTGTTACTCATCCATTTAACCTTTTTAATATAATGCAATTTGAATTTTTATGACAAAATTCAATTGTAAGCACAATTTATAATTGTCTGCAAAGGTAATTCAGACACCTAAAGATCGAAAAGGTTTATAATCGTAGTGATGTCTGAACTTTTGACTGTTTTTTTGTCAAGGATTGTAGATTTTACCAGCTCAATTTATTTATGATCAAAATTTTAATCAGAAGCAGTTTTAAGATGATAAATTATGTCCAGAATTTTGCCTGGTTTTGTCAAAGATGCAAAACATTGTAGATTTTATCATAATTATTATGATTTTATTTCTCGTGTTTTTATTTCTTAAAGAGAAACAACTTTGCTCAGTCTGAATAAATGTTATAAAAATAAAAATAAATTACATTTAATGTGAGTTACTCATCCATTTAACCTTTTAATCTAATTCAAATTTTCAACAAATTCCAAAATTATTCAGAAGCCTTACGTTTTAACAGTTTTTAAGATCATAAATTGTCCAAAATGATCAAGAATGCAAAACATTGTAGATTTTACAATAACTTATTTTATTTATCACTTATTTTATAAGTAAACATTATAAAAGTGGTAACGTGTAGCTGTAAAAAAAAAGACATTTAATGTGTTACAGTTTGTTACAATGTGACAAAAACGTGACTTACAAACAAACACAATCACATTATATTCATCCAAAACATGCTATGAAAAAAACAACAGGTAATATTGTTAAAAATATAATTTGTATATACAAAACATCAATGCAGTTAAAGATAATATGTACAGCAAGATTATTACAGTATATGCCAGTATCAGACTGAGGTATCAGGCTTCTGTAAATCTGCCGGGACTCTCTGTGGCGATGGGTTTGGTGGAGTGTGTGAAGACTATGTTCTCCGAGTCTTGTCTCCGCTGTGACTGTGGAGAGCAGATGTGAATGTAATCGTACTGACTCTGCTGGTCTTCTGTAAGGCTGTGCAAGGCCACGCTTCTGTTGGTCTGCGTGTCGTAACTGCTCCTCTGAAGCGTGGCCTGTGAGGATGGCCTCGTCCTTGAAAAGGTCGACAGATGTCTGCTATTAACGCTCACAGACGGGCTCCAGCATCTGTCCGAGTGACCCAGGATCCTGCACTCACTGGTGCAAGCCCACAGACCTGAGGAAACACACTCCAGTAAGGATTCCTACACAACTGCCACAATAAAACTGGTAATTGCAACTTTTTAGCTCAATTCAGATTTTTTTTTTTTTATATCTTCAACTTCAGTCTAATCCAGTCAACAGCAATCTAGCAACTCTGAGTTTACATCTCGCAATTATGATGCTTTTTCTCAAAATCCAAGTATGCATGTTTATATTTCATAGTAATTCGGACTTCTCAGAATTTTTAGTTTCTGGCAATTGTGAGACAAACTCGTAATTTGGGCATTTAAATATCACTGTTCAGACTTTTCTTCTCAGAATTGCGAGTTTCTTGCAATTTGTGACATATAAGCTCGCAATAAACTCTAACCAATCCAATCAACAGCATTTGTGAGTTTACATCTCGCAATTTTGGCTTGTTTCTTGTGACCTTTTTTCAGGAATTCTGAGTTTACATCTCGTAACTTTTACTTTTTTTTCAGAATTCTGAGTTTACATCTCGTAATTTTAACTTTTTTCCTCAGAATTCTGAGTTTACATCTCACAATTCTGACTTTTTTCTCTGAATTCAGATAACCGTATTGTCCCGAATATAAGACGATATTTTTTTCTTGGAAATACATCCATAATTTTTACTTTTTTTATTTAGAATTCTGAGTTTAAATCTTTACATCTTGCAATTCAGATAAAAAAAAAAAACATTTAATAAAAAAATTTTTTTTTATTGTGACTGAGTAATTGTGCCCTTTTTTCCTGCAGTTTATATTGTGAGTTTGTCTCACAATTCAGACTTTTCTTCTTAGGATCACAACATATACACTCATAAATAAACTAAAAAAAAAACTAAAAAAAAACAATCCAGTTGAATTTTCAGTTTAATTATTGCAATTCAAGTTTTTTTTTTCAAATTAAAATGAATTCAAATTAAAAATAAAAATAAAAAAGGTAATTGCAACATTTTATCTCACAGTTCTCACTTTTTTTCTTGCAGTTGTGAGCTTAAATCTCACAATTCTGACTTTTTATTTTAGAATTGCAAGTTTATATCTTACAATTGAAAATTATATATTTTACATGCCGCAATTCTGACTTTTTTTCTCAGAACTGCAGTTTATAAACTTGAGTTATGTTGCAAAAAACATCTAAATTGTGTGAAATAAACTCAAAATTGCAAGAAAAAGTTAACTTTCATAGATCTGGAACATCAAAGTCCTGAATCAAATACCTTCACTTTTCTTTTTCATCAGAAAATACGTTCGTTCGACTCTTAATGTGCTCAGATGCGCGTGACTCGTGATATGCACACTGCTCAGCTCTATTAGTGCGCGTGTAATCGCTCAGGCTCTTTGTTTCCCATAGATTAGAGTTTAACAAGGCTGCACTAGAAATGAATCAAAACTGACCTTGAAGTGAAGCGATCCAATCAGCAGCTCATTAATCTGAGCACCTCTCTACTTTAACTTTGCCTCACTAGTCCACACGACACCTCGTCAACGCAACCATGATCCTGCAAAAAATAATTACCCTGACAATCGTCTGCGTGAGAAGCCATGCTACCAGCAACTCTGTGTCTTTATTTGTTTCATTGCTGCACTTTTATCAAGAACACAAATGATCAGTTATGTAAGACTTACTTTCTAACTGTATAAAAAACTACAACCGTCTCCTTTCTCATTAGTGTAAGACCTATATCAATGCTCCACATCCTCCAATTATATCAGATCCTATTTTCAAGTAGTTTTGACATTTAACAAGATGATTTCGAGGCAGGCATATACAGTATATATATATATATATATAGAGTTCTGGCATGAAACTCTAGATGGCGCAGTCTGATAGGTCTAACTCAATCTGACCTAATGACATCATTATCACATGGCACAGCTGATTGGTTCTCTCCTGTATTGGTAGCCAATGAGCTCGCTGCTCAACATTCAAATATATGACTAGTGCTTGTCGTAGCAGTTGCAGCTTGCTTCAGAAACCCTCCACCTTCCCCAGCTCCACCTGTATAGATCTGCTACGAGGTGATTCATGTATGCTATATGGGGGTTATTTCATGTATGTTATATGAATAAGATAACAGCAGCATGTTGTGGATGTATTGGCAGTAGCAAGTCTCGGTACCGCAGCAACAGCAGCAGCAGCAGCGTAGCAGATCTATTCCGCCAAGACCAAATACATTAACATTGTCATGTACATTACCATGCCAATCCCTCAGAGAGTTGTCATGACAGAACTATTATTATTATTATTATTATTATTATTATTATTATTATTATTATTATTATTATTATTATTATTATTATTATTATTATTATTATTATTATTATTATTATGAGAATTCTGCACAAATATCAAATATATTACCAGTTTGGACATGTATATGCATAATAATATATTATGTATAATAAATAGTTCTG